GCCTCCCCCATTGCGGAGCACAGGCTCCGGACGCGCAGGCTCTGCGGCCATGGCTCACGGGCCCAGCCGCTCCACAGCACATGGGATCCTCCCAGACCGGGGCACGAACCTGCGTCCCCTGCATTGGCAGGCGGACTCTCAACCACTGGGCCACCAGGGAAGCCCCTTAAGCTGAGTTTTGAAGCTTGATTAGGAAGGAGTTTTCTGAGGAAATGATCTTGAAGATGTAGTCTGAAATATGAATGGGAAAAGTTAGGAGGAAAAGTGTATTAGGCAAAGGGAAGATTGTGTGCAAGGGGCTGGAAGCAGAAAAGGCATGGGGTGTTACAGAAACTGAGAGAGGGCAGAGAGCAAAAAAGGATGAAGCAGAGGTTCTCAAAGTGCCATCCTTGGTCTAGGAGCATCAAGAATTTGTTAGAAATGCAAATTCTGAGACCTCACTCCAGACCTACTAAATCAGAAAGGGAGGGCGGGGAGGGGGGTGGAGAATAGCCTTCGTAATAATAAGGATTTTGGATTTTATTCTAAGATTAATGAAAAATAATTGAGAGGTTTTAATAGAGGGATAGCATAATCAGGATAATAGTAGCTAAATGGTTTGGCATTAATAGCTGAGCAAAAACTCCTCAAAATCTAATTTTTGTAATAATCAGGATCAGAAACCATACTGAGCCTTTAAGTCAAGGGTCACAATCGTAATGCCTTTAGGGCTAAGCCAGAAAGGCGAATGATTGAAAAGAGGGATGTGGAACACTGATGGGGCTGCCCTCCAGTCAGCAAAGCATCTGCTCTGGAGCCAAACAAACACGTGCTGAGTGGAGGGATTCACTGGCGAACTTAGGGCTCCCTTAACACACCTGCTTAAGAAAGGAGTGGGCCCCTTGCAGGGAATCCAGCCTTCTCCCTTCTTCAGATGTGACTATTTCCCCAGCCTGGCTAGGCAAATCTGGCATCAAACCAAAATTTCAAAGAGTAAACCACCTTTTGTTTCTTTGTCCAAGTAGCAGAGGGATAAAAAGCAATTCAACAAACAAGATGCCAATAACCCAGCCTGCTCACCTCTCACACGGAGTTTCTACTACAACGCAAATGACCCATTTGTATGAATCTACGGTAGAAGCCTGAACTTGGGAATGCTCCTTGTGATAGGCTAACCCAGGAACAACCCTCTCCTGGGCCCAAGAGGCTACCAGTGTCTTCACTTCAGAAGGTCAAATCAAGCTCTTGGAGTCAACAGTATAAGGCTCTCGACCCTTAAAAGACACACAACATGTTTGTATGCTAGGTTTCTCAGAACTAAAAACTATCAAATACAGTCCAGTCAAAAGGTCACTAGAAACAAGCAGAAACTTTTTGATGAGGAGCAACTTACAGCACTGGTAGAAATCCACCAATTTGGATTCTTGCCACAATATTGTGTACCTTACCCAGATTTAGCTACAGACCATAGATGATGAGGGAGTGGTTACACAGTTCTGACTGAATCAGGTTAAAAAGCACATTCCAGTGCCATTCAGGATGCAGAAAAGGATTGCAACAGACATTAATGAGAAGGGAACAAAGAGTGACTGCCTTATTCAGACACTTCCTCCCCCAATTCCTCAGCTGAGAAAGTCAACAGTCTCAGAAGTCCCATCTGACAATAGCTATTCATCCTGGCCTGGGAAGCCTGAATTACAGGTGCTGAGGGACTCCACAGACCTTGCCCTACTAAGGTTATGGCTCAGAGATCTTCAGGGGAAGCCTTGGAGGCTTCATGATGAAGTGAGTTCCTGCCTCCCACCTATTCCTTAAAGATCCCCAAACCATTTTCTCCAAAGTCAGAATAAATGAAGAGACAAGCTTCAAATCCAAGTAGAATCAAAATTTCAAAAGAATCTTATTTGCACCTGTAGCTGAATTTCCATTTCCTAAACTGAAGCCAGATTTGTAATGAAAGGTTTGCTACCTGCAGTCTTACTAGATTTCAGAACATCCCATTTTATTCCTGTGCCCAGCCTAAGTGACTTGCCTACGTGTACTGGCAGAGCTAAGACAAAAGGTAAATGTTCCCAGAACCAGCCTACTATTTAATAGTTGGTGTTAACTGCCTTTGAGTATCAAGTATAGTCCCTCTAAGATGATGATGATAAAGGCTGACATTTATGGAGCACCTACAAGCACCAGTACTCTCTTTATATAAACTTATTTAATATTAACCTCTCCATGAAGTGGGTACTTAAGAGTTTCATTTTACAGATGCAAAAACTAAGGCATGGAGAGGTTAAGTGACTTGCTCAAGGATCCAGAGTTAGCGGCAGAGTCAAAATGCAGACCCAGGAACTCTGAGTGTAGAGCCCAAGCTCTTAATCAGCAGACCACACTGTCTTTCTCAGGATACTGCCAGTCCATTCTATAAACACTAATCAGGCATCTGGGCACCAAAAACTCTACTAGACAAAAGCACCTATTCATACAAAACAACAACTAGAAAATCTGCTTTTACTCCGCCATGCTCAATGTGACAATCCATGCTGAATGCACCCCAGATCCTACCTCCCAGCTTACTGCTCAGACAAACACCTAAAAATTAAAGCCCTCAAAAGTAAGATGAACAAACAAAAAAACTTTAAAACAGTGTTTAGATCTCTAAACAGAGATCACACACATATTCCTCCCTGGCCAGGAAACCAAAACAGACATTCTATAAGGTCAATCCATAAATTCCTATTCAGAATTTTGAGCCTGAATTCAAGGAATAGCTCATCATTCATTTAGCTCAATACCACCTAAACATCCAATCAGAAACTGGTTTTCTTTGTTTTTCTCTCTGCCCCCATCATCTTTTAGAGGGTGGCATAAATACTCACAGGCAAGCTTGAAGGTCTTGACTGAAGACTCAGGTTCATATCTTCTTGCCCTCCCTTACTGGAGGTCATTGAGGGGGCTGAGGATGCCTGAGACCCAAATGAATCTTGAGATAACTCCTAAAACAAGAAAAACAAAAGCTGTGAGAGCTTGGTATTGATAAACCAGGCAAGCTTGCTTCATGATGAAAGGCCTATGGGACTCTCTTCAACAGGGGGAAGCTAGGTGTGAGAGACTGCCCAATCACACACAATATTATCCAAAGGCAGAAAAAAACAAGTTGTGGCTCTTAAGAATGTCAACAGTGGACATAAGACTCTCTGATGGCACTCTTGACCATTTATTACCACCCACAGAAAGCTGTTACTTGGGGATAAATGCTAAAGTCTAGCTAACTACAAGTTATATCTATCAAGGAATGAGACCACCTGATTCAAAAACACCAACAAAAACCTCACGCTAGGACCTCTGCGTTAAGATGAGTACTGCTTCCTTTAAAGATATTTATTCCAACAATGCCACCAATGCACAAAATCTTTAATGGACCTGTCATCACTCAGTCATTCTCCTCTTTTTGTTCCTTAAAGAATAAAGCCCAAATTGTTATTTAGATTTTATCACCTACCTTGTTCATAGACATGGCTACAGATGAATTTTAGCTATTTCCCAAAATCAAATCCACTCTCAAAAAAATAAGAGATTTGCTACAACTATTCTAAAGAACGTGATGTCAGCTCTGACAGCAATTTCAAACGAAGGGCTCCAAAATATTTTGAGCAATAGCAGAATGGAATGGCAGTTGGATGAATGTACAGTAGAGCCTCCCAAAGCGACTGTCTTAAAAAAAGACCAAACTAACTTGGATGCTCAAGTTCTGAATTCTGAGTTAAAAGAAAAAAATCAGTCCCATTATCTTTATTTCTTTTCTGTCTATGCAACTTTCCATTGCCCTATTTCATGAGTATGGAGAGCTACAGGTTTTTATGCAGTTATATCTTTATTAGTTTCAATTAGAGAACCAATTTTGTATGGCAAAGTTCTCATGACACCAGCCCCCAAAGTCTGCAGTCACACGTAGGGAAGGGCATGAGGAAGGGGCCTCTTACCTGTGGTGGAGGGAAGCGCTGCTGAGAATAGGCAGTTTGCTGTGACTGCTGAGACTGGGGCTGAGGGTACGCAGCCTGCTGGGAAAGCGTCGAGGATGCTGGCTGCTGAGGTGGCGGCTGCTGGTAAGGAGACTGTGCCTGCTGCTGTGAGTAGGGGGGCTGGCTCTGGGGGTGCTGCTGGGTGGTGGACTGCTGGGTGGGGTACGGGGTTGGGGACTGCTGATGGGGGGGCTGGGACGGCTGCTGGGAATACGGAGGCTGAGAGGACTGGAGCTGCGGTGGCTGAGACTGAGGCTGCTGCTGATATGAAGGCTGGGCGTGAGGGGTCTGGGATGGTGGCTGCTGGGAGTAGGGCTGCTGCTGCTGCTGGGGGTGAGGGCTTTGCTGGTTGTAATATGGAGCCTGGCCCTGCTGACCATACCCGCTGGGGCCTGGCTGTCCATAAGGTGGAATCTGTAAAAGGAAAGGATACTTTTAGCACTGACCCTTCTGGATGAAGAAAGGTGATTATGTCAGAAGCCATGCCCTGAAGATGGGTATACAAAGCCGCCAAGCCAAGCCTCACATTTAGAAAGCCCAGGGTTTTTCTACCAACCCTGTTAAACTGAGCCAGGAAGGACAGCCAGGCTGGGTTCCTAGTTGGTTTGTTCTTAAGTGGACTACATTCATTCGCAGAAAATTTACACTATTTAATAAAAATCTGGGCAACTTACAAGAGTTCAAGAACACCTGTTTTCACCAATGAGTCTACTCTTTTTATCATGGCCTAGACCGTTTTTATAAGCGCTAGGAATCTGTATCCTAGCCACAACGAAGAGTCAAGGGCAGCCTGGCTCAGCCGACTGAAAACCTAGGGTTTAGTAATCCAGATGGTATGCCAATCACTAAACTACCCTGGTTCTCTTTTTCATTTAGTCTTCATTCAAAAAGTATCTGACAGCCTACTTGCTTACTTGCACCAGGCACTACTCTAGGCACCAGGGATCTATCTGGCAAAAGGAGGGGGGAAAAGACCAATAATATCCTTCCCAACTCTCCTCCATTTTCTCCTTGAAAAAAAAAGTGATTTTATATAAGGGCATACTTTGCTTTCAAGTCTCAGAAGTAAAGTTACATCTTATATTCTATCCCTCACCATCTTCAGTATGAATATCACTCACATATAAATGGTAGAAAATGCTGTCAAAACAAAAAATGGCAATAAAAAGATGACGGTGCGGATGGTCAGATAAAAGGAGATGAGTAAAATCTTAACATCTGCAATAGCACTGTTAGCATCTTTACTGTTCAATCTTCCCTTTGCCTGCTACTCCCAGTCCCTTCTAAACATTCACTTTAAACCAGACAGCTGTATGTTGAAGGCCTTGAGAACACGAAGGGCCTCTTCTCTCCCCAGGGCACATGGTGTGAGTGGTTTTTCTTGGTAGCAGTGGATTGGTGCTCAGCCACTGCCTTTTTCTTTCTTCCCACTTCCTTCAGAGATCGCCATTCAGTGGGTACAAGCAGGCCAGCCAGGTCAAAGAAGACAGATACGTATAGCAGGCGGCCAGGGAGCAGTTTTCCTTCAAGCACACATGCAATGGTGACCACAACCTTGGCCTTGTACATAGCACAGTGAAACTAACTGAGTCAGTTGGCCTATGTTCCTTTCAAGAGGTTTGGAAGCCAAAGACACATTCTGATTCTATAGCTGAAGACCAGATCTTGGACAGCAACAAGGATTGAGGTAATCGGAGTCAACATCTACCTGCTGTGCATAAGAGAGGCCGCCCATGGTACTCTGCGCTCGGCCCTGCATGGTCATCGGGTACCGCTGTGGGGTCTGGGACCCATATGGCTGCCCTGGGTACCCATGTCCTTGCTGCGGTCCTGATGGAGGTCCCTGTTGTTGCGAGTATGGGTTAGTCCCGCCATATGGCTGAGGTCTCATCTTGCCCATCTGATCCATTGGACTGGATGGCTACAAAATAAAGAGCATTTCATTAACCTGAAGCTTTCATGTCCTCTAGCCAATATGAACACAAACCTTGGCAAACAGATCTGTATGCCACAAAGGAAAACAGTTACTATGAAATAAAGTAATGGTATAGACCCAATAACCCTTGAGCAAGTCATTTAACCTTCCTCAGAACCTTGATTTTGTCATATGTAAAATGGAAACACCACCAGTTTGTGAAAGCATCTTCTAAGCTATATACTACTTTATAAGTGTGGTACTACTTGAGATCCAAGGAACGGGCCAGGGGTGGAGCAATGAATACACGTACTCTATGGTACAGAAAAATGAGAACAAAGGCCCTTCAGTTGGGAGGGGATGGTGCTGCTATACTCTGCCATGATCCTGTTCAATAACACCAGAACTGATGCTTTAATACTGTGGTAGGGAATTCAAATACACAAGCATCCAGAGGTTTTTATTCTTTAAATAGTGGAAACTTGTTTTCTTGCACATCCAGAGCCCATTTGTGCTATGGCACGAGGACTTAAATTTATGCTTTCTTCCAATTGGGTATCATAGCTAAGTTACAGCTGTTGAGGGAATTGTGACCCTGAATTTATTTAGAGCCTTGTACAACTCAACTGAAAAGTTCACCTCCTTTAATATTCAAGAGCTTGAGGGTGTAAGGCAGGTAGAGATTATGTCTCTCTAAAAAACAAGATGCAGAGGTACCAATAATGGAACCTCAAAGCTCATAGGTATTTGGCTACAAACAACTTCCAGCTCTTTGTGGTGCAACAGGATCAGTCAACTCATTCACTTTCTGACATAATTTTATCTTATTGGAGCTACGCAGAACAGAGGCCCAGCACACTTTCCCCTCCCAGAGATGCCTACCATGCTATATCTATTGGTGGTGAGAAGGGAAGGAGGGAGTATCTCTAAGCAATTAAATAGATACACCCAAGTTGCCAAGTAGGCCTGCACCTGACGTAAAACTTGAAAACTGAATCTTAAATTGGGGATGGGGAGTAGATATTAAGGAATTCAGTGGTTCTCAAACTTCAGAATGCATCAGAATCACCCGGAGGGCTTATTAAAATGCACACTGCTGGGACCCATCCCCAGAGTACGATTCTGTAGGTTGAGGGGTGGGTCTAAGATATGCATTTATAGCAGTTCCCAGGTGATACTGATGCTGCTGGTCCAGGGACCACCATACTTTAAGAACCACTGGCCTAGATTACACCTAGGGTCCCTTCTGGTTCTATTATTCTATAATTAATAAATTATTCTAATTTTTTTTTTTTTGCAGCACACTACCTAAGTGTTTTATAATAATGAGGAAGTCGAGCTGTCATGAGGAAAATGGATAAGATAAAAAGCCACAGAGACTATTCTTCTAAATACTAACCGAAAAAAAGCAGAAACGAAGTTCTCTCTTAGGCTGCAGCTGAAATCTCACCTTAAAAGGTTAACACTGAAACCTCCCAAGTTTCCAAACTATGAGAATCATAGTGAAACCGTGTCCCAAATCACTACTACATGTCAATATTATTAAAGTGCTATTTCCAACAATCATAAGTAAACAATTTTTGCCCAGACCTGCCTCTGTATCGGAAGCTCCAATAACATTCCTGATCATAACTTTGGAGTCACGTGGATTCTTTTGGGCCTGTTTAGGAAGTTCAAATTCAACAACCGAACTAGTGAGTAATAAATAGCATGTGGTCTTCTCCAGATACACCTGGCAATGGAGCCAAAACATCACCATTCTCTCCTACAAAGAGCTCAGGGGCTTACACAGCCACATCATGCCGCAAATAACAAGGAGATCCTCATCTTATCCTAGACTGCAGCTGCTGTCCATGTGGCCCCCAGGTGAAGAGACTACATTTGCTGAACAGAGACCAGCCCACTCTGGGTATCTCTGTCAGTCTAGATCTCCTAAACACACAAGGGGCAGTCATTACCATGGTTGCTACGGAGCTTCCAGAGCAGCAGCTATTAACCACGGCTACCGATCAGATGTGAGAAGCTTCACAAATGCCTGGGCCTCTCCCTAGAGATTCCAATTTAGCGAGTCTAGAAAGGCTTGGGCTCCCTCCCCCTAAACCCCTTAAGATCCTTGGATGTGTGTGTGTGTGTGGCAATGCATGGCTTGCGGGATCTTAGTTGCGGGATCTTAGTTCTTAGTTCCCCAACCAGGGACTGAACCCAGGCCACGGCAGTGAAAGCCCCAAGTCTTAACCACTAGACTGCCAGGAAATTCCCTAGTTCTAACATATATTACTAGCTGAGAACCAGTGATCTAGAGAAACACTGCCCAATAAAATTTTCTGTGTTGTGTGACTATTAAGTACTTGAAATATGCCTAGTGTGACTGAGGAACTGAATTCTTTTTATTTACTTTTAATTAAATTCAAATAACCACATGTAGCTGGTGGTTATATTGGATTGCACTAGATTGTTCTAGAGCAATACTCACAAATCATTTTCACCTCTCCCTGCTCAACAACAGCCCCAAACTTCCTACCTACTACATCATGTACAGTATCAAAGAGAAAGAGCAAAGAAAGTAATAAATCGACAGACTTGGGTTCAAATCCTAACTCTTGTCACTGACCTTGAAAACATCAATTCTTTAACTAAAATGCACATAACTGGGGCTTCCCAGCTGACGCAGTGGTTAAGAGTCCACCTGCCAATGCAGGGGACACGGGTTCGAGCCCTGGTCCAGGAAGATCCCACATGCTGCAGAGCAACTAAGCCCGTGCATCACAACTACTGAGCCTGTGCTCTAGAGCCCATGTGCCACAACTACTGAAGCCCACGTGCCTAGAGCCCATGCTCCGCAACGAGAGAAGCCTGTGCACCACGACGAAGAGTAGCTCCCACTCACCGCAACTAGAGAAAGCCCACGCGCACCATCAAAGACCCAACACAGCCAAAAAACAAAAACAAAAACAAACATAAAATGCACATAACACACTTCACACAGTGCCTGTTAAACGCCCAATGAATAGTAGCTATTATCAATAATGATAAATAGTGCTTCTGCCTGGCTCTAAAATGTGCCACAGTGCTCTGGTTCTACGCATTTTTCAGCCTCATGCCAGACTTCCCACAAGTCCAGCTCTACGCAACAGTACCCTGCCCTGCCCTCCTGTCCACAATGGCTTCCACCAGCAGAAACCCAACCCTTCAAAATGAAGCCACTTCCCACTTCTTTAGCACATTCTGTTCTTTCACACTTCTAAATGGCCTATTGTAAAATCAGTCAGAATCATAGGTTTAGCGCTTAGTTGTCCAGCTAACTGACTGCATCTCTCGAGACTAAGTTCTCGGAAATCGGAGATCAGGTATTTTATCTTCAAAGTCCCCCGAAAGACCCCAAGTGCAGAACTAGGGCTCAGGAACTTCACTGTGCCAGGCTGCCCTACTTTAAGAAGTGGGTAGGGAAGAAAGCCTAGACTAAACCACCTAGCCAAAGGGCCAGGGACACCCCTAAACCCTAAACCAGGTTATGACTTTGAGGGCAGAAAAAAATGGGGACTGAACTGAAAAAGCAAAGGGGAGGGTAGAACAAATAGTCAAGGAAGAATGAGCACACCTCTAAGGAGACTCTTAAGCGCCATCCTTAAGTGCCTCTCTCCTATAACCAGAGAGGTCTTCAAACCACACAGGCATCTACAAACACACTGCTTAAAAACAAAAGGCTAAAGGCAAGTCACTCCCTCCTACCCACCACCCCCGCCCCATGTCTCACATCAGGGTGCCTGCACTCCCAATTGAGGACAGCTACTAAAGGGTTCAAGGATTCTTCCATTAACTTTAGAAATTCCTTGCAGACTAAAAATAAATGCAAGTTAAAAAAATTCTTATTCTAAAAAATGAAATTAAGACCTTTCCCTTTCCTGGACATCAGATTTCTGACCCCTTCCCTTCAGTAAAGGGTTATAATAAACAGAATACACAGCTTAGCAACTAAAATATATTCAGTTCAACCAGATTACTCTGGTCTCATGTCAAAGTTAAACATCTGCTCATATCAGAAGGGGAGGTAGGCAGGGACTGAACTCACACTTCTGACATTTAAAACCATTGTGAAAGATTTGTGATTTGCAGTTATAGATGAAATGTCATCTTCCAATCTTTCATAACAGAGAAGGGGCCTTAAATCTTCACTAATCAGTTTTTTTGGAAAGTAGCAATTTCAAACCAGAAAAATCCCTACTACATACAAGATAGAAAAACCAGTATCAGCAGTCTGCAGGCACCAAGGAAGAGGCAGAGGATGGGAAACACCAAAGAGCCAGAGATTCCACTCTGGGAAAGACAGAGAGGAAATCCCTTCAATGGGAAACCACAGGAGTAGATTACTGTGATTACACTTCAAAAGCAAAGGCTCTGCCACAAAGACACATAATTGAGAGGAAAATGCTGCCCCCTTGATCAGGGAAGTCGGGCCCCCTGCTATATACTCTCCTGCATTCATAAAAAATAAAAATAAAAAAGAGGAAAAGAGCCATAAGAAAACCCCCATCTCTATTCACCACTTATCTCTTTCCAGATCACTGGACGTGTTACAAACTGCCTGCCAAATGAAATGCATCAAAAGTTGCAGTTTCCCTAGGCATCAAAGGCAAGGATGCCTAGCAGGCTGGTCCCTTTGAATAAACTCAGAACAAACAGCTTACAGACTAACCACTTGCACAGTTTCCTTGCTCTAAGCAAATGGAATTAAAAGCCCCTCCACATCAGAGGGCTAATGGAATCCCTTACAACTTCTTATTGCACCAAGGAAAGCCATAACGACCTAAGGGGTTGCTGAGATATAACACACTGGACTTCAAATTCTCCAACTTCTGATCACAACTGATTGAGAAGAGAGCAGAGAAGGCGGTGCCAGGGACTCCAACTTCAAAGTGAGAGATACTGTTCACCAAAATGCACCACACCACATGCAGTGGCACCAGGAAAGAGAAACTTCTTAATTTTCTTGAAATAAAAGTCCAACT